TATATCCTTGAGAAGCATTTATAACCATACATTGGTTTGTTTTTAATGCAGGAAAATATAGACTTAAAATCTAAACAGCATAGATAAGGGACAGGTTGAACGGCTAACTATGTTAAGTTGGGATTATGTCACATGCCAAAATTCATTTAGAATATATTCATTCCAATTTAGGTAATCCTAGGAAATGGGGAAGGTAAATGTACTTTATTGAATTAAGATTGTATTTACTAGCTACGTGTTCTTGAGCAAATTACAAACATAACCTTTCATCATTAGTTTCCTTATCTATAAAAGGAGAAAAATAACAGCTAATATCAACCTAATGAGGCAGTATAAGGGATAAATGAAATAGAGATAAAATAAATAAAAAGCTTAGCAGAGTGATTGGCCCATCAAAAATAGTCAATAAAGGGTAGCCAAAAAAAAATAGTCCTATGCAATACATTACTTTGATGGAATAATTACATCAATCTAGATATTACATAACCAAAATACTTCTGCACAATAGAATGCATTTCATCAGGTTACTAAGGATTTGTTGCCCAGGTACACTTTTTCTAGTATTTATTGTTCACATATCTATTCTTTCAGAGTCAGATCACACTTCTGAATCAGACAAGAACAGCTACTCAAGAAATACTGAGGCCCAGATTTAGCCACGGGGTTTGAATTCAACATTTCTTCTCTCTAGCATTAATAGCATTTGCTTTAAGTTTAATAGGTATAAAAACACCTTTATATATAGGCAGAAAAAGCTAGCTAATGTGTAGGTAAGGGAAAAACTCTCTAGTCCAAAAAAATGACCTTCTATATCAGCAAATTTAAAATCCACATCATAAATGACATTTCTAGGCCTTTTCAAAAGGAAACATGCTATTTGTTTTTATTATGGAAAATTTCAAAACTAAACAAAAGTAGACAGCACAGTATAATGATCCTCATACACTCATCACCTGGCTTCAATAATTATCAACTCATGGCCAATCTTATTTCATCTGTACTCCTACTTCCCCCTTCCACATTATTCTGAAGCCGATCCCTGGCATATTATTTCATATGTAATTACTTCAGTTCATATTTCTAAAAAATAAGGACTTTAAAAAAAACGACATCATCACCACAATTAATAATCAGTCTGTAGAACATTTGTTACTGTTCTTTCTCAGATTGCTTGTTTGAATCAGGATGCATATGGGTCCACACATTACAACTGATTGATATCTCTTGTTTCTTTCAACCTCTAGGTTTCACCTTCAGTTCTATTTTTTCTTTGCAATTCATTTGTTGAAGAAATTGGGTCCTGCATAGTTTACCCACAGTTTGGATTTTGCCCATTGCATTCATGTGGTGTCATTTAACATATTCTCTACTATATTCTTCTGTTTCTTGTATTTCCTATAATTTGGTAAATTTGATCTAGAAGCTTAATCAGATTCAGGTTCTCTTTTGTTGGCAAGACTTTCTTCACAGGTGATGACACAGTCTTCCATTAGGATGCACATAAAATGTGACGGTCTCTTGTGATACTAGCAGCCATTGATGATCGATACCCAGACCCATTTATTAGGGGCTGCAAAAATGGAGATATTCTAATAATAATTCAATCATTCCTACTTCATTTTTTAAAAACTAAATTCTATAAGGAGAAAATTTCCCTTCTCTACTATTTAGAAACTTGGCTTTAATTGGTATTATTTTATCTGTGAAGGGAACATAATAATTAACACATTGAAAGTGATTAACTTATCTGATAAAAAAGTACGATGAATCATTTTCTTTAAGGTTGTAGAGGAAAAGAGAATATAAATACAACTGGAGGAGAAGAGGTAAATGGTAATCAGAAATCTAAGGTATCTGGGAAGAGATGTAAAGAAAGAAGAAACACAGATGTTTAAAGGTAGCACTTTGCTATGTCTATTCTTATCTGGCATAAAATTCCTGTTTGGAAGCCCATCTGTGGCTTCAAATACTGTTTATTTACTGAGAGCTCTTGCTTTAATACCTCTAGTTCAGATCTCTCCCTAGTCTTTGCACAGTAGTCAAAACTCTACCTGACATCACTAATTCGATGTCTACAAAACATCTCAAAGTTAACATATAAGATGGAACTTTTAGTTTTACCCCAGAATTGTGACTCATATCTTCCTTATTTCAATAAATGGCAGCACCATCTACCAGCTGCTAAAGCAAAAACAAAATCAAACCAAACAAACAGGAGTAATCTTTGACTCCTTCCTTTCCCCAACCCCCAAAATCAGTCACCAAGCACTGTTGGTTTACCTTAAGATTAATTTCTTTTTTATATTATTAACGACACTACGCTAAACCAAATCTCAAATAATCCTGTTGAGAAACAACTGGATTATTCTAATATCCTATCTTACCTTCTGATGTGTTGGCTCCCTCTAGTTCATTCTCCACAAGAAGAGAGTGATCTTTCTAAAAGTTAATCAGGGATCATGAGCTGATAATTGTTGAAGCTGTGTGATGGAGTCATTGTACTAATTTCTTCCCCTTTGTATATATTTGGAAATTTCCAAATTAAAAAAATAGAATGTTATTCAGATTATTTTATCTTCCCTCTTATTTTACTTTTCCGCTGAATTTTCAATGTTTTCAAAATAAAATTCAAATGTCTTGCATAGGCCTCTGAGCCCTAGTGTGCCCTGCCTACATGATACCTTATCTGATGTCACTCTTCTTGCTCACTCTGCCCAGGCCATAACCTGTCACCTCTAAGAGCGCTTTAAGCTCTTTCTTATCTTAGAGCATTTGTACTTGTTATTCTCTCGACCAGAAAATGCTCATCCTCTAGCACTCTGATAGCCTGGCTCCTTCTTTTCCTTCAGGTTTCATCAAAAAATATCACCTCCTTAGGCCTTTTTAAAGCAGTTAATCTAAATTAGATCCTCTTCCTTCACCATTACTCCTTATCACATTATTCTGTTTATTTCATATCTTACCACAATTTATAAATATCATGTTTGCTTATATATATAAATATACTTATTTGTTATGACAAGAAAGTAACTCAAACGAATATGTAAAGATATTTGAGGTCATATACCCAGTTACATTCTATCTACGCATGGCATAATTCCAATATTTCTAATGTAATTCCAATTTTTTAAATTGGTGGATAGAATACAAATTTTAAGAATTTTTCTTCATAAAAAAGATTTATAAAAATATAATTTTGATTAGGAGAGTAACTTCTTGAAATTTTAGAGAGTTGTATAAAATGTGAATTGGTGAAAGAGAAATTAGAATTAGAAATGTCTATTTGAATATACCTTTGTTTTGATTATAGATTTCTCAATGTTTTTGAAGTGCTAAATAATTTTAAGCGACAGTCATTGTTTGATTTAAATGACGAACCTCTGGAAATATATTCTGTATTATGAACATAACACCGCTGTAATTTTTAAGACCAATATATTTACATTTTATCAGCTATTAATTTTAGGAAGCTGTCTTAGTGGTATGATAAAAACTCATCAGGTATTTTTGCAGATTCTCTCCTCTTCCAATCGTTTTGATTCAGTGTCATAGGATTCATCTAAACTGTGTTAGACCGAAAGCAAGGCTACATAAGCCAGCCTACCAAATCAGGGAGCGGATGAGAACTGACTGCCAGTCATTTGAAGAATGCCCTTGGCATGACAGAATTTTAAAACAGGAAGATATCTTAGAGATCATGTAATAATCCAAAGCCCTTATTTCAAAGGGGGTGAAACTGCTGTTCTTATAGGTTAACTGACTTACTCTTTCCAAACATAATTTCCTAAGCTGGTAATTCAACTTTTACTTTCAGAAGACCCTTAAAGAATTACATAGTAAGTTAATACAATATCAAGTTCTGGAACACAGGGCTTTTATATCATAAACCTATTATTTTTATTATTTTAAGATAAATCCTCCTTTGGCCTCCTTTCCTGCATCTCCGAGCCTTTAAGCCTTCTCAAATTATCCTAGTGACCTCTGCTGTTGTTATGATTGTGTCAAGATTTCAATATTTTCTTGTTTTTAAAAATGGTTTGATTTACCAAAACGTCAAACTAATAGTGAATAAATTCAATAGAATACATTTCACATTGGCACCTCCTTCAAGTCTGTTTAGCCTAAGGTGGGTTAATAGCTGCACATAAGTTTTGTTCAAGTCTTTGAAAAACTTGTGGATTTGATGGGTGTTGTGAGTAGAGATGATAGACATCTCTTATGTAAAATAAATGGGTACCGAAATGGATAATGCTGTGAAAGGATGATCATCAGAGGCAACGCTGATTAAGCATTTATGGGGCCCAAGTCCATGGTAACCATTAGGCACTCTGATGTACAAACCATTCTAGAATCTAGAAACGATGCAGTCTCCCTCACAGAGGAACTTGCATTTCACATAGTTAAGGGGCCCAGGGCAAGGCTTTATAATCCATTTAAGAATGCTCCACATACCTTGACTATGTCACCACGGCAGTTTTTCCAGCTGCTGATGACAGCCCAACTTGCCTGTTCAGACAGTGATGGACCCCGTCTCCTAGTTCAGGGTTTTAAACTATGACCATAAAACGACATGGACTTTGAAAACTCATTTAGATCCTTTCCTCTCTTCTGGCAGAACCACATCCAAACCATTCCAACCGGACGAATCTCTCTCCAGTTTTTATGTACTGGCAGAGAGACTCCGTAATCTTTCATCATCCTTTGCTGGGCACTCACAATGGGCAGAATTCTGGTGGCAATTCCACCCCTCACTGCAGGACCCTGACATCCCGGAGTTGAAGCCCCACTTCCTTCCGGTCTGCTGGAGCGCTCTGGCGCATCCCACTAACCGGGTGGACAGGCCTCCACCCGCCAGTAGCCCCTGCGAACCCGCGGGGCAAGGCCGGGTGCTGCAGAGGTGTTGAGAAAGTGAGGGGTCGGCAGCTGCAGGCCGAGGGGCGGAGTGGGCGTGCGTCGCTCTCGCGAGAGTTCGCGGGTGGGGGCTGCAGGGGGCTAGAGAGTAGGAGGCGAGGGGTGCAGCGTGGCGGCCTCTGCGGCTGTTCTCCGCGGGCAGGAGAGCGGCCTTTCCCCGCCTCCCTTTCCTTCCCCTCCTATTGAGTGATTCGAGCGGTGCGCTTCCCACTTCCGCCCCCTCTGCCTGCCTCTGGAACTAGAGACGCCGAATAAGTTGCGGCCGCCGAACAGCCGGCTCTCCCCTTCTTCTCCTCATCTTTGCTCTCTCCTGCCCTTTCTCTCCTTTCCTCTTTCTTCTCTGGCCGCCGTCGCAGCCGCTGTCGCCCCGAGGCCTCGCGACCGCCGAGCCCGCAGCCCACGCCGCGGCCGACATGAGCTTCTTGTTGTGAGTAGCCAGGCCCCGCGCGCGCGTCGGCTTTGTTCAGGCCACCTGGGCCGTGGGCCCCTGCCCGCCTGGCCCGCGTTCGCACACAGCAGGTCCCCGGGAACCTGCCCCAGCGCTCGCGTTGCCCGACCGCTGCCGCCTTCCCTCCCGCTCCAGCACGCGTGGCATGCCCCCAGCACCCAAGGAGGCTCTTTTCCCCTGGACCCCAAGTCCCGACCCACCCCGGTGCCTGCGTCCGCATTTCTCCATTCCAACCTCTCCCTTCACTCTTTTGGGCGTTTGTTTGCACGCTCTGCATAGATACCTCCTACTCTCCGGCATGACCCATATCCGATGCGTACCCGGTCGCCTGTCTATGTCTCGCCTGCGAATTGCTTTTTTTTCTGGCTCCCAAGCACAGAAGAAGAGCGTTGTACTTCCCCCCGTCACTGTAGGACCCTTTTAACTTCCCTGTTAGGTTTTAGGAGTGGGCAGTTGGGGTGACAAGTTCTGTGTATGTAACACAACGAGGCCTTTTACGGGTCAGGGTCCCCTGGTGACAGCCTAGGGTCTTGGAGTCTAGAGCAACTTTTTGCTCCCCTAAAGAATATGAACTTTCTCTTTTCACGCAACCACCAAATAGGGTCTGGTAGTGTGCCCCGGGGTGAGTAGATCCACTGGCGAGTTGTTTTTGCAAATCATTTGTAAATGCCAGCTTGACGTCACATTTTGTGCTGGTGGTTATTTCACTTTTCGTTTTTAACAGGCATGTTTAGGGGCGGGGAGGATATGGGCAGAAAGATGAGATGGCCAGATTGGGGTATAGAGGCAACAGACAATAAGCTTCAGGTCCTCTGAAAACAGGACCTTACACCCCGGAGAATTTGCCTTTTGAAGGCTTCCTTGTGATTCACCTATGTTTAATCTGTGATTAGGAAACTAATAAAAACACGGAGATGGAAACCCACCCCATACACTCTTTTACTGTTGTGGAGAAAATAGCATTTAAAAATTATTTTCTGTTCTGATTCTCTTTCTTCCCCACCTCCCATAATTTTTAGTTATCACGTTATCACCAGAATCCTGAAAATTTAGCCTTTACTTTCACATGCTCATATCTAAAATATTAATCAAAACTGAGCGATGTTTAAGGTGTTTAAGCAAAACTGAGCGATCACAGAAGGCTAACGCAGGCAGGCAGGCAGATTTGCTAATATTTCTAATATATACAGGGAACCTGGCTTCTGTCATCTGCCTAACACCTTTGAGCTTGTGAAATCTCTTTTTTAGGCTCATCCTAGAAGTTGATTTTGAGTTTTTCAGATAGACTGTGATATATGAGAGAACTGGGTGACTTCATGGAAGTCTTTGTTTCCTATTTTAGTTTGATTCAACATATCCAGACATCTCAGCTTGAAGCTTTTCATCTTAGCAGTTTACATTGCCAATGTTTGATTTGTTCAACAACTTAAAAGCTGTCTTTGAAATAGCAATGTAGATGATGTCCATGACTGCTGCTGATGGCCTGTGTCTCTTTGAACTCAGCTAAATTGGTTGAAGCAGGGAAGAACCATATTTGGCTGAAACTAAGAGATGGACAAGGTTTTGGTGGTATTTTCTGAATACAAATACAATAGTCCTATTTTTACATGGCTCAGTATTTAATAGTTACGGAAACGCAAGGGATAATTCATTTCTCCTGGAGCATATTTAGGTACCTAACAAAAATCTTGCCATAACTATTGTGTATAGCACAATAGAGGGTTTGTACAATTTGGGGCACACTTTTCAGTTAGGTCACATGTGGCAGTTAATATATTTTCAACATATTTAGCCTGTGTGCTTGACAATCCAAAAAGTTAGTTTAGCAATTTTTGGTTTTGGTTTTTGTTCACTTGTAGTTTAAATTCTGAAGTGAAGGAACAAAGTTTGGTTATTTCGTTTATTTGTTATTTGGTATAGTTTCCTGAATATTATTTCTGTACCAACAGGTAAGCAGAAAAAATAAGAGTTGCAATTGACGAGTTAGATAACAAATATTTTCCTCTAGTTCTTGGAAGCTTACTTGTAAAGCAACTAATATAAATGGATGGAACCGAGGAAATAATGGCAATGTGAGATTGGGTTATGAAGGTGATTACTTATAACTCTTGAGGACTTTAAGATAAAAGGAAAGAATTTTGGTTAAAAAACATCATTCATTATGCTAGGCACTGACGTAGGCACTGGGTATCATTTGTGAACAAAATGGATAAAAATTCATGCATTAGTGGAGCTTATGTTCTGGTAAGTGACCATAAACACCAAACATCAGTGAATTATATAGTATGGTAGGAGTTTTTAAATGCCATAGAACAAAGTAGAGTAGGGTGAAGAAGTTTTTGGATAGAGAGGCGAGATAGATTAGGTAATCCCCAGAGAGGTCCAGATGATCTGCAGCAATGATACCTTTGTGTAGTTTTTTTTTTAACAAATGCTCAGAATAAATTTGTACCGCATATGTGGATCTGACTGAGACAAAACTTTAGTTATGCTGCTGATTGGCCTATGTATCTTCAAATTAAGCTAAACTCCCAGATGGTACATCCTAGAATTTCTTAAGAACCTAATATAACTTTGTAGACTCAAATCATTAAACTCATCCTCAGTAACTTCTATGTGCAAGATGTGGGACTACAGAGATGTTAGATAGTTTATAAAGTCATCTGTAATAGATACAATGCAGTCATGGAGGTCTAAAAGGTATGGAGCAATTTGTTCTGTTTGGGATGGAGGAAGATTTCATGAAAGAAATGAGGGATATTTAATGGAAAGTATAACAAGAGTTCTCCAAAAGGGGAGGGGATAATGGGAGATTCCAGTCCGGGGAAACATCATGGAGGCATGAAATTGCCTGTGAATTCTCCATTTTCAAGTTTGTCTAAGAGACTAAAATTTTGAAGCTAGATGTGATCTAGTACCATATCTTACTTATCTTTTTTGTGGCAAAATCACCAACTTCAAATTACTGGCCTAATTATTGGTCTGGGTAATAATTAGGGTAAGGCTAATTGGTTGGAACAGAGTTAAGGCTACTTGGTTGGAACAGAGTTAAGACAAATATAGTTAACTGTAAAATGGAAGTCTGTAGGAAAGGTGCTTTAGAGATGTGAATGAATATAAGCCACGTCTATTTCTGTATAGGAAGAAACAATGAGATAGGCTGAGAAAGGAAGGAAGAAAGGAAGAATTTATTGAGCATTATGCTAGATAACTTCCATTTATCTTTTCAAAAGAATAGCAATTTAAGAAAGGAGACCCAAGGTTTTCTCTGTGTTTATGTGTCTTTCTCTGCTCTCTCTTCACTCCCTCCTCTTTCTCTCCCGTTCCCCTTCCCCGCATCTTTGTTTTCTGGCAAATGATTTAACTGTTTTTAATGCTTCAGCATCTTCATCTGTAAAAGAAGAGGATAACAATAAAATAGCTGTCTGAGTACTATTTGTCAGGCATTAAGTGCTTTAAATCATTAACTCAGTTCAGTAACTAGCAGGAAACCGCATTTTACAGATGAAGAAACTGGCAAAGGGGTTAAATAATTTGCCCAAAACTATGTAGCCAGTCATTGGTGTATCTGGGATTTGAATCCTGGCAGTCTAGATCCAGAGATCATGCTTCATACTGCCTTTTGTATAATTGATAAAATTAATAAAAAGGTGGTATTCAGATAGGTCTTGTTTTTTTAAGAGAATTCTTACGTTATTAGGTATTAATATCTCATACTGCTGGAACTGTTTTATGAGGGTCACCAAGAATATAATGGTGGAAGAGAAAATAGAAACCTTTAAATTTAAGTAATACTTTAAATTACTTTTTATTTCCATTATTATTGCAAAAGTAATACACATGTTGGAGAAATCATGAAATACTGGTAAGAAAAGGAAGAAAATAAAAATCACTCATAATCACACCTTTAGAGGTGACTGTTGTTTGTGTTTTGCAGTATAAATTCCTAACCTTTTCTGTCATGTTTTTGTTTGTATATCTTTAAAAATATATAAATGGATCTCTACTTTACATAGACCAAGTTTTTCATTTGTAAATTTTTCATGTCACTAGATATGCTTCTGCAACATCATTTTGAATGGCAGTTGATTAAATATAATCTTAACAGTTATCTGACAACCTGGTTTAATATGTTATTATTTGGGAGGGGGGGCAGGAGGAGGGAGAGAGTGGAAGTAAGTATTGTCATCTTTCCAGAATTATAGCTTTGGTAATTGCAGATACCTAGCTGGCTTTAGTTAATTTTTCCATGTGATATAGGATTGCTTTTGTTTTACTTTGCTGAGTACAAAGTAATTACTATGTGATTACTTTTATCATTGTTGACTTCTTTTTCCTTGATGTTGCAGAGTTTTTGTATTTTTGTAGTTTCTGATACATGAAAGCATACGTAGTACTTCTCTTCAATTGTATATTTAATTAGGAGTATTGAGGCAGAATAGCTATGTGTTACTCCTTGAAAAATATGAAAAAATGGTACCTGTTAGGAATGTTAAATTAAATTCTATAGAGAATTTGTTTTTAAATTTCCTTTTCTTCCCACAATTTCATTTTTTATTGAGATGTAATTGATATATTAGTTTTAGGTATACAAATTTCATTTTTGTTTTTTCTATCAATTAACTAAGGCCATCTTTTACAGCATATTTGATTATAAGTGTAGGTATGAAACCTGTTCATTTACAGAAGTGATTTTCAAACTTTTTCCAAACATTTTCAAATTTTTAGAAAGTTACAAAGAATAGCACAAAGAACTCATACATATTCCTTATCCAGAGACACCATTTAGTTTTATCAGTTGCTCTAATAATGTCATCCTCAGCAAAAAGATCCGATCATGAATTATGTGTTACATATAACCAGTTTTGTGTTTGCAGCCTTTTTCAAACTGAATTACTTTCTCAAATTTTCCTCGACTTGTAGGACCTTTACATTTTTGAGCATTACAAAGCCAGTCATTTTGTAGACTATCCCTCATT